AGCTGCCCTCTGCCAGACAGGAGGGGTCAGACCCAAGCAAAGAGGATCCCGTATTTGTGTGAATCAAGGGAATATGATTGGGCCCTAAGATAGACATGGCAGAAGGAGAGAGAACATTAGGCAGAGAGAGGAGTAGGGGGGTCTGCATTTGGGAAGGTAAGTGGGTCATGAGGAGAGATCTGAAGGAGGAGAGGCAGGATCCCATGCAAAGATGGCAGCATGGGAAGAAGCACAGGGGTACCTGTAAGAGAAGGATACAGTGCAAATTAAGATACAGTTGGCTAAATTCACACCCGATGTAAGCAGGTGCCGCTCCAGCGAGTTTAGGTGCTTGCTTTACACTGGGATTGACTTAAGTCTAGGAATCAGAATTATTAGTGTCACTTGTGTTGCTCAGTTCTCAAAACAAAGCTTACGCTGGATGTAAGTTGTGCATTGGCCTTGTGATAGGCCTTCTGCACAGGGGAGAATTTCATCCTGGCTGTATAATGTTTCATAAAGGCAGCTATTTTGCTAATGGCTGGTGGCTTCCAAGGGCTTCCAGTGAGGGTGTCTTAGTAATGGTTGGAGCCAGTGAAGGTGCTCTTGGTCATGAATGGCAAATAGACAATGCAAAAAGCCAAAGAGTTCATAGCGATATGGGCTAAGCGGGCCGTGATAGGGTGTATTCCCCTCTACCAGCTGTTATTGGTGTAGCAAGAACTTTGGAAAGCTCTAGCAGGAAGTTGGTGAAAGTTGCTGCATTGACCCGCTGATGAGTTGAGCTATACCAGCGTAGGGCACGTCTACATTAGAAATGCTACAGTGGCACAGCTTCAGTGCTGTCGTGTAGACACTAACTCCAGGGGCGGAAGTAAATCTACTTCTCCGAGAGGCGGAAACTAGGTCGACGGAAGAATTCTTCCATTGATCTAGCAGTATCTACACCAAGGCTTAGATTGCCCTTACATCTCTCAGGGGAGTGACTTTTTCACACCCCTGAGCAACGTAGCTATGTTGACTTAACTTTATAGTGTCGACCAGCTCAGAAGCTCTGTAGCGTAGACAGAACTCTCTTTTTCTGGAGCAATTTGATCCTAGAAGCAGAGCTCTGAAAATGGTGTCTGGTGTGGTGGATAGAGAAGGGGATTAGGCACTTAGGTCAACTACTGACTGATTGGAGGAGCAGGTTCAGTTGATTTGGGTAAGGAGGGTAGTGCATTGCAAAGAAAAATGGTAACTATGGATTGAATTATACACTTTAGGGTAGGTAAAGGTTAAAGATTAAACCAAGAACGCTGGTTGTGAATATGCAGAATAGCATTGTATTGTCTTTGTTTAGACTGCTCACAGGAATGGATATTCCAGGTTTCTCTTAAATTAAGGGTGGGGACGGGCAAACTAGCTTGAAGAAAAATCACCTGACCCTTCTCCCCACCCCAAATTTGAGCAGAACCTGTTCTGAGGCTCAACATTTACAAATCTCTCAAGTTCTAGTGCTTTTCTAGTGACAAGAGGGAAGAGGGGAGTTGGCAACACGTTCTGGGAAGCCCTGAAATGCATGAGATTTGGAGACAAATGGCTGGCTAGATCCCAGAGGGCAGCGAAGGATTTACTGAACGCCACACATCCTAACCAAGAGAAAACACCAAACTTGAAAAATGTCTCCCCTACCCACTGTATTCTCAACATTGCCAAAATGTAGAAGATCTGCTTGGGATCAGGACAAGAAGAAGGAGTTGAGGAGGCAGAAGAAGGGAGCTGGTTGCTGGGAAAAATGAGAAGGATGGGTGTTGGGAGCTAGCAGACCTCAAAAGCTTTGGGTAACCTTGAAGCAAGTTTCTGAACTTCAGGGGTTTATCCAAACTTTTCCCAACTTTTTTGTTGGTTTGTTTGTTTCTGAGCTCGGCACATCACTAACTCCAGATGGCCAAAGACAACAAAGAATCTGGGGCTTCTCCATGGCAGAAGCCGGTGAACTTTGTAGACAGAGATCAAGTGGTTTTGTTTAAATATTAGACACACTAGAGAGAGGCCGATGGAAAGTGCCGTGATTGGAGCAATTGTGCTTCGGAGTCTTGAAGTGATTTAGGAAGATAACTGAGTTTAACAGAGCGTTACTGAAATGTGCATGATGGACAGAAAGTTAAGAGAATCTACCCCACAATTCTCCAGCTGGAGGTCAAGTGACCACCCAGTTCACCAATGAAATGCCAAGTTTACATTACACCATCTTAGCGGCCAATGACACCGGGAGGACATGGTTATCCTGCTCACAGCTGCAGAAAGCTGCCTTCTGTGGCTGTCACATAGCCAGAGAAAGGCATGGCTGTTTCTTTACATATTAAGGAAGGAGCTGTGTGAAACGCAAATATATTTTCATTTAGAATTATTTCTACCAGGATTTGTACCTAAGGTGATTTTCCAGCAGCAGTATCAAAGGCATGACCTGGCAAACTCTTATTCCTATGGCGAGTCCCTTACTCTCACTAGTCCCAGTGGGTTCAAAATGTGGGGGCTGGCAAGAGCTAGCTAGGATTATCATGAGTCTAACTAGATAGGATTGGGCTCTTCAGACCTAATGTAGCTCCTGTTCAAATACATGGAAAGCCTCCCAAAGACTTCAACAGGAATGAGACAAAGCCCCTCGGGGGTTGGCCCTGAACCATTGAAGTCAATGGGAACTTTGCCACTGATTTCAGTAATAGCTGGATGAGACCCTTAGGGCTTCAGCCATAAGCTCCGACTTATATAGTGAGTGCTCAGCACCTACTGGCAGCCACGCTGATCAGCTCCTCCCCCTACCCCCCAGCTCCCCCCACCCGCCAGTGGGCCCTGATGATCAGCTCCCCCCCACCTGCTCCCAGCCCCTCCCACCGGCCAGTGATCAGCTTTTCAGTGGCGTGCAGGAGGTGCTGGGAGGAAGGGGGAGGAGTGGGGGCAGGAAGAGGCGCAATGAGGGTGGAACTCGCTTGGGGGAGTGGGCAGAACGGGATGGGAAGAGTCGGGGTGGGGGTGGAGCAGGAGCAGGAAGAGGTGGGACAGAACCTGGGGCAGAGCCTGGGGTGGAGCAGGGGCCAAGCACCCACGGGGAAATAGAAAGTCAGTGCCTCTAAGCCAGTGCCCCTTGCAGTCAAAGGAAGGGCTCGCATTGACTTCAGTGGATAGTGGATGAGGGTTTTCAGGACCTCAAAGGTATTGAAGCACTTGATGCCCACTTCAGTGGGAGTTAGGTGCCTAAATACATCTGAGGATCCAGGGTCATGGTGGAGCCTCCATCACTGAACATTTTTAAAGCCTAATCAGATGGTTTTCAAAAGGATCCGTCTAGGAGTAATTTGGGGGGAGGTCTGTGGCCTGTGGTTATATAGCAGGCCAGAGGAGGTGATCACAGTGGTCTCTTCTGGCCTTGGAAGCTATGAATCAGTCCCCAAGGGTTTGTCCTGACTAGGATTTAGGGATGTGTTGTTGGGACATGTTAGCTCACATGCTCTAGTCTAACACAGGGCCATGTAGGCTTTAACATGTGCTAGCTGATTGAGTTGGAGCCAGATGGAAGGTTTAGCACATGTTAGCTAATGCCTTCTGTCAATTGCCGGGCTCGCTCCCCAGCGCAGGAAGGATCAGTCCCAGGGCCTTGCCTCAGCGCACAATTTATTGGTTAAATGGCAATTTGGGGGAAAAATGTCAAAATAAAGTAGTTCTCGTGCCCATCATAGGCTGAAATTCCCAGAAGCTTTTCCTCACCTCTCTCAGCCCCTCCGGGTCCTTGCCCTGACTCAGGGCCTACTACAGAATCCTCCCCGATCCCTGCACTTCACCAGCTCTGCTGAGCTCTTGTGGCCTTTCTAAGGACCCAGGGCTCCTTAGGCCTCAGCTAGGAGGCATTGGTGAGGCTGGGCCAAGCGTCCCTTTAAAAGGCCAGCCCGCCTGTGACACCTTCTAACTCACCTTTTATCCTAGTTAAAAAAAAGAATTGATCTTAGGTGAAACATGGCCCCATCACCACAGTCTCTGAACACCTCACACTCTGTAATGCATTTATCCTCACAACACCTCTGGGAGGTAGAGCAGTGCAATTATCCCCACTGTACAGATGGAGAACTGAGACTTGCCTCACAGGATATAGGAAGCCTCTGGCTCCCAATTCTTAGACTAGGGCACAAAGCTCTGGCCCCTCCTTCCTCTCTACGCTAGCCTTCTTGCAGCACTCGGCATCGATATAATTGTTGTCATTTTTTTTTTTTACAATTTCAGTGCGAATAACCTTTTTTTAAAAACAGACAAACTTGTTCTGCCACGGAGGCAGCCCAAACACAACAAGCTACTGCTAAATGAAAACCCGGGTAGCAAAGATGTGTTTAAACAGAAAGAGAAACTCACCAGCGTAGTTTCACGTTCAGGGCAAAAAAGTAAACCAAGAAACTAAATCAAAGGTGCAAAGGAAATTTGACTTTAAAAATCCTTTCGGTTGTAATAATCTAGGTGGTTGTTAGGAGCACTCGTAAGAGCATATTGAAATCTATTTAACTGGCTGTATGTCTACCTATCCTTCTATCTGCCCATCTATTTTGAATGCACCTGTCATTATGACGTCTGGATATTCTGCAAACCATCCCTTATTTTCTAGTGTAGTCCAGGCCTTAATTTGGGTCACTTTAATTCTGAATACATTTGTCCACATAGGACTTTAATACAATTTAACTAATCCACTTTAAAAGATAATTCAGATTAGTTTTCCTGTGTGTCGCCATACAGACAAGACCTAGTTCAGGGAAGGAGCTATGGTGGGGTTCTTTGTTGGGGATTGTGGAAGGTTTAAAGAGGTAGATGACTCCATTCTCTGTGGGGAGGGATCAGGAGCTGGGACATTTATTGTTGGGCAGAGAGGGCTGAGGAACTGAAAGTGTTGCTGTCCCCTTAGCTGTGACTGGTAACAAGCCGTGCAAGGAGCAGAGTCAGCCTGAAAACTGCTGCGTTTTCTCTTCCAGGTCCTTGGCCATCGGTCACCAGTATTCCTCCCTGGGGACTCAGCCCATCCTCTGCGGCAGCATCCCGGGGCTGGTCCCCAAGCAGCTGCGCTTCTGTCGGAACTATGTGGAGATCATGCCCAGCGTGGCGGAAGGGGTCAAGGTCGGGATCCAGGAGTGCCAACACCAGTTCCGTGGGAGGAGATGGAATTGCACCACCGTCAATGACAGCCTGGCCATATTTGGGCCTGTGCTAGATAAAGGTGAGTGCTGAGTGATAAGGCAAGCGAGGGTGATACCTGTGGACTATTAGCAGCAAATATACATTGAAACCCATCTTGTATAGAATCACAGAATGTCAGGGTTGGAAGAGACCTCAGGAGGTCATCTAGTCCCACCCCCCTGCTCAAAGCAGTAGTTGGTATCATTTGTCGTGACCTTTTCTTTTGGGCGGGTATAAAGTGCCATGCATAGAAAGTGCAAGCTTTCTCCACCTAGCCTCCCACCTGTACGCTTCTGGCCTGATGCAGAGAGGCCATCATTAGAGCAGAGAGGACAATTCAGTCCCAGCACCCGTTCAGCCCTGGGCCTCGCCAATGAGATGGCCAACAGCAGTGGGCTCACTGGGAAGAGGACTGAGATCTCCCAACTCCTTCAGACAGGCTACCAAACACTCCTCAAGTGGTAACAGTGTTCACTTACTGCCCACCTGGGGCTGGTGTTGAACAGGTGACCTAGAGAGCTAGCATTGCCAGGGCCCTGAATCATCTAGTCTCCTCCCATAGATTTAGATTGTTAATGCAGCAGCTGTTTTCATTGGTAGAGCTGGACCTCTGGATTCCATTCCAACCAAACGTCATTTCACGCCACATCAGATGGTCTGTCAGTGATTGCTGACTGGCTTGGCCTGGCATGCTGTCAAGCAGGCTGAACGCACACACCCCCGCCCCCCCTCCCCCCGAAGGGCTGTATGTAAAGGGGAAATGATACACTGCAATCAGGATTAATGGGTTCCCCTTTCAGAGCTAATTGCGCTTTTAGTTTCTAGATTTTGGTGTTGGGCACTAGATAGAAAGATAGATAGATAGATACTGGGGCCTGCCTGGCTAAATAGATTCTGATCCAACTCCCACTGGAAGTCTTTCCATTGACTTCAAAAGGGAGCTGGATCAGGGCCTTGTCCCATATGTTAGATGCTTCTTTGGGAGCAAAAGCAACTGTTTTATTCTGCTTTTGCATCCTGGCTTTTAGGGCCCAGTCCGGCTCCCACTGACTTCAGTGGGAACACGATCAGGCCCTTAGTTTTAGATTAGCACGAATAAGTTCAGCTGTAAGGCAAACTTGCTTTGCATTTGACCTCCCCGGAGATAATGAAGCTGGACTTCCTGCCCAGTGCTGTTTAGGAATATCCGACACAGCCGGCTGCGCCTTCAGGATAGCAGCAGCACAGACCTGGAAGTAATCCTGTCAGTGTGCAATTAAAGGCACTGTTACAGGTTCCCGAAAGGACTGACGCTCCTCCCGCTGAAATTAGCTTGTCTGAAAGCCAGAGCAACGTTAGCTGACCTCATGTCAGCAGTGCAAGGCAGCCTCTAGGATACATTTCAGGAAGACCATTCTAAAGTCTGTTTATATGGTTGAGCTCATAAATTCACCTCAGGCCAGGATCCACTGTCACTTGCGATCAGGTGTCGGGGCGGGATATTGTTTTTATCCTACTGTGTAATTCAGAAGAGCTTTGGATCCTGTTGTGGTGAACTTTATAAAATTCCCGGACTACATCACAGCAGTATACTGAAAGGAATGCCTGTATCATTATTGATTGGAGAGAGACAAGGTAGTATCTTATACTGAGCCATCTTCTGTTGATGAAAGAGACAAGATTTCGAGCTTACACAGAGCTCTTCTCACATTACATTAATATATTACTATCTAGAGACACCAACCAAAATCAGGGCACTCTTGCAGTAGGCCTTGTACACCCACATGGAAAAGAAAGTGAAAGGAAGTGCTATTATCCCCAGGTTACAGATGGAGAACTGGGGCACATATGTATTAAGGTCTAGTCTATATGGTTTTTTACCAGTAAAGTTATGTTGGTTGGAGGCATGATTTTTATCAAACTAGTTATACTGGCAAAATCCCGAGAGTGGATGAACTTATAAAGATGACTCGTTTCAGAATAGTAATGCCCCTTCCCCTACAGGAATAGCTATGTTGATAGAGAGCACCTTTATAGTGATCTAATCTCAGTCACGCTGCGGGGGGTTGAACTTTCTAGTGAGGACAAGACCCAAGTGACTTGCCCAAGGTCCCTCAAGGAGTCTGGGAACTGAACTCAGGTTTACTAAATCCTAGTCCAGTACCTTCATCACGCCAGACCGCCCTAATTCCTGATACTGTCATAAACGGCACATGGGATGCCTGCGGCTGTCAGGGTATGTCTACACTGCAGTCAGGTGTGTGATTGCAGCCTGTGTAGACAAACCCAAGCTAGCTTTCATCTAGTGAGCTCCAATAAAAATCCCAGCGTAGCCATGGCAGCAGGGGTCATGAGAAGGGTGAAAAGGGGGAACAATTGTACCAGGGCCCAAGCTCAGGGGGGCCTCCTCAAAACATCAATAAAAAGGGGTGAAATGGGGATGAAATTGGAGGGGCCCCAGGAAACATGATATACCAGGGCCCCAAACTTCCTCCTAGGGCCTGCATGGCAGCATAGGCTAGCCACCCGAGTAAACACCCAGGGTCCCAGGTAGGCGTGTGCTGCCATTGTTATGGGAGCTAGCTAGATCCAAGCTAGATCCAGGCCCACCTCTGACTGCAGTGTAGACATACCCCAGACACAGGGCAGCATAGCTGCTCTACTGCCCCACGCCACCTTCTGATATACCTGTGGTTATATGTTGGCACGAAGGAAGCCCGTGCCCTGCACCTGCAGCGCCCACTGCAGTCATCGGGCGTGTGTGTGCCAGGATGGGGCCCAGATCCTGCCGTTGTGCAGTAGCCAGGCTCGGCTAGGAAAAGGACGCTGGGACGATTTCATAACTGAAGAATGTTGTTCCTCGAGGGAGAATCTAACCATCCTTCAGTTTGGCTTCACCTATTGCAGGAGGCGGGGGGGGGGGGCGGGGGGGAGGAGAACAGCTCAGCCACATTCTTGTGCAGATCCCCGAGGGGAGGAACATACTTGAGCTACTACCAAAAGAAAAGAAAAGAAAAGTGCTGGAGTTCACAGTTTAAAAGCCAAGTAACCGAGAAGCTAACTTCAGTGTCCCATTGCGGTCAGTGGGGCCAGGTCCTCGGCTGGTGTAAATGAGCACTGCTCCATTGCGGTCAGTGGGGCCAGGTCCTCGGATGGTGTAAATCAGCACTGCTCCACTGAAGTCACAGAAGCCAAACTGAAGTCATGGGAGCTATTCCCACTTTCACCAGTGGGGGTCTGGATCTCAGTCTTTCTTACGAAGAAGGGCTGTTTTGGTTGGGTTTTGTTGTTGTTTTTATGTTTTGATTTTCCCTGAAGAAACGCTTTCTAGGCCTGAATCTAACTGAAACTCGCTCAGTATTCATGCCACACTTGCCACTTTGGTATCTCATTACGAATTCAGGGCTAGGGTCTGACTCTGACTCAGTGATGTCAAAATCTTGCTGGACTGTGGTCATGTGAGGCCACCATGTTTTGACACTGATAGAACCATAGTCTAAAACAGGTGCCTCTCTCATGGTGAATGTGAGGAGGGGGATGCTTTAGAATCATGGACCACAAGGGTCATCTAATCTAACCCGCTGCCAACATGCAGGATTGGTTGTGTCTAAACCACCCAAGACATGGCTCCAGCCTCCCTTTGAAAGCCTCCAGTGAAAGAGCTCCCATGACCTAACGAGGCGTCTGTTCCATTGTCCTGCTGTTCTTATGGTTAGGAGGTTTTTCCTGAGATTTAATCTAAAGCTGCTATGCTGTAGTTTGAACCTACTGCCTCTTGTCCTACCCTCTGTGGCAAAAGAGAACTTTTCTCCATCTTTTTTATGGCAGCCTTTCAAGTGTCTGAAGACTGGTATCCTGTCCCTCCTTAATCTCCTCTTTTCCAAACTAAACAGACCCAGTTCCTTCAGCCTTTGCTCGTATGGCTTGCATTCCATCCCTTTCATCATCTTTGTCACTCATCTCCGGCTCCTTTCCAGTTTCTCTCCACCTTTCTATATATTGGTGACCAAAACTGGACACAGTCCTCCAGCTGAGGCCTACCCAGTGCCGAGTAGGGTGGAACTATCGCTGCCCTTGACTTGCAGGCTATGCCTTTGGTAATGCAAGCTCAAATTGCATTTGCTCTTTTTGCAACAGCATTGCATCGCATTGCTGACTCATGTCGAGGCTGTGATGCACCACAACTCTCAGATCCTTCTCAGCAGTGCTGCTGCCAAGCCAGCTTTCCCCTACATTCTGTACTTGTGCATTTGGTTTTTCTTCCCTGAGAGTAGCCCCTTAAGTTTGTCTGTTAAATTTCATTGGGTCGTCTCTAGCCCAGTTCTCCAATCTATCAAGACCCCGCTGAATTTTAGCTGTATGTTCCAAAGTGTTGGCAACCGCCCCACCCCCGCTTTGTGTCATCTGCAAACGTGATCAGTCTGCTCTCTAGTCCTACATCCAGGTCATTCATACAGATGTTAAACCACACCGGACCCAGAACAGATCCTGGTGGAACAGCACTTGAGACCTCCCTCCAATCCAACGTCGTTCCATTAATAGTTACTCTTTGTTTGTGGTTCTTTAACCAAGTATGTATCCACTTAATGGTAGTTCTGTGGAGCCCGCATTTCTCCAGTTTACTTATCAAAATGTCACGTGGGACTGAATTGAAAGCCTTGCTGAGGTTCAGGTATATTATGTCGAAGGCTATGTTTTAGTCATGGGTATTTTTAGTAAAAGTCATGGACAGGATATACCCCTAACTAAATCCTGCAGGGGGGGAGGGCAGCCCGGGGTGCTGTGGGTGCTTGGTGGGGGGGGATGGTCCAGGGGGTGCTGCAGATGCTCAGAGGGAGCAGCCCGGGACCCCCGCTGGTGCTGGGGGAGGAGGGGCAGGAGGTGGCGCACAGCCTGGGACCCCTGCTGGTGCTGCGGGGGGCAGGTTGGCAGGAATGGCAGGCTCCCTACCTGGCTCCTCGAGGGCTCTGGGTGGCGCTTACCTTGGGGGTCTCCCTGGAAGCAGCGACATGTCCCTCCCCCAGCTCCCATTGGCCAGGAATTGCAGCCAATGGGAGCTGC